GGTTTCTCCTCACACCTGCAGTGTATCTCGGAGCTCTCACTTTGTCCCCTTCCTTTTCCTCATTTACATACGACCTCTTAGTGACATCATCCACAGACAGGAGTTCAATTTCCACATATCCAAGTCTACTTCCTTCAGTCCCAGGTCCATGGATGTTCTGCCTGCCTGTTTGTCAGACATCAAGGCGTGAATGAGCACCAACTTCTTGCAACTAAATACGGACAAGAAGGAAGCTATCCATCCTCTTTAGCTCCCATCAAAGTTTCCTCACCCCGCGCTCCGACCTCCGTATCCTAACCAAGCCTATCTCGAACCCGCCAAATATGTGTGCGTCCTTGGTTTCCAGTTCAATACCAACTGTCCTTCTGTCTGCATGTTCAGTCTGTGACTGGGACTGCTTTTCTCCACCTTCACCATATCGCTCACCTCTTAAGAAGTGCCTGAAATCCTCATCCATACCTTTGTCACCACTTCCCTCGATGTCTCAAACGCACTCCTTGCCTCTTTGACCATGCCCATGGTCAGCTCTCCTTTCTCCCTTGCTGGGTGTCAGCCCGCCCTTGTGCAGTGCTCCGAGACGATACCCTGCTTGAAGGGTGCCATGTAAATGCAAATTGTTGCTTGGAAAGGTGTGATTGTAGGCACAGTCAAAGAGAAGGTTTCGAATTGTTTTGAAAGCGGAAAAATAGGGTGCAAAACAGATACATTTAAGAAAAGAGTTCCAGAAGATGGGGGGGGGGGAAAGAGGCTGAAAGCTCCCCTAGTCGGGGTGGACAGGGGATAAGGACCAGATCCAGGTTATCAGAATGGCGGGAGTAGGTGGGAAGGACGACAGGAGATCGCAGAGTGAGAGAATGAGGCGAGGGTGTGGAAGCACGTGAAAGTCAGAACGAGGATCTTTGACTTGTGAAGCCTTTCGATTGAACAAGGGTATTGAAGGTGTCAGTGAGGCAGCTTGGCTGATGGTAGTTGATGGTTGTTGATGGTTGAGCAGTCTTGTGGCAAATTAATGAGAGTTTTCAGTGCTCCGATGTCTCCAACCCTGGGACGTGAGGAATGTACCACACGACATTACTATTTTGTGACTTTATTTTCCTGGCTTAAATACAAATCCAGGTCCCAGATGTGAAACAAAGTACACAAACTGACTTTGCCCCCAATCCCCTTGAAAATGTTCCTCCAGACGAATAAAGCCCTGCAGATTTTACTCTCAACAGTTAAACTGGCAGCTTTAATAATTTACAACGTCGTAACACAGCATGCAGTGTGGAAACAAAATAAGAGCTATAAAATATTCAGTTTGCATTACATTTTTTGTTGGCAAGTATTTCATTGCTATGTTTTACAGAGTGCGCTTTGAGTTTGCCATCTCTGACATTAAGTTACTAGATATATGAGACAGTGCAAGGCTTAGCCTGTTCTACAGTTATTGTGAAGTACAACATGTGATTCCAATCTGTCACGCTTGAAGCTGAGCTCCATCGGGTTATAATTTTTTTTATTTTAAATTGGTTTATTTTATGTAAAGGAATAGAACCCAGTAAAATAATTATTTTCAAGTGAAATTCCTTCAAGGTTTATTCTAATAGTTAGCGTGCTTTCTTGCAGGATAATTTCGAGCTTCTCTATTTGCTGTATGAGATTCTGTTGACAGTTAATGGATCTTTATTGGTAAAGTATTTTTCTCCCACTTTTTCATAAAAGAACACATTTTCATACTGCTTCCCTGTACAATACAAAATAAATATACCAAAACCATCTGCAAGCATTAAAATTGTTTGATTCGAAAAAGCACATTTTGTAGGAATTAAAAAAAGATTTGGCACAGATAGATCGGGTGAAAAAATTAGCAGATTAGATGATAGGGTGACAGTGAGAAATATTAAAAGTTGAACTGGGTATTGACCAGACGAAATACATAACACATATAAGTACATCCAAAATGGGTTGAGAATTATTCTATAAGGTGCAGCCTCCTTTGATAAATAAGGAAATTATTAGACTTATTATAAATGAGGGAAATAATTAGATTCTTGACTATCAAATATTTCTCCCTACCAGAGGCACTAGTTATTCCCTGTGCGAAATATGTGGCTTACCTACTGAAGCTAATATTACCCATTTATGCTGAATCCATTCTAAAACATAAAGTATAGCATATTTAACATGCTGTAAATCCAGTGTGTTGTGTATTAGTTGGGCTGTTTTTTTAATCAAAAAAATCTTGTACTCTAAGTATGCCTGTTTATGTGTACATTAAGATCACAAGATTGAAAAGAAAAAGTAGTTTTGTCTAGTGTCCTCATCATAGTGGAGTCCTGTAGCTCAGTGGTTAGAACACTCGCTTTACAAGCGAGAGACCTGAGTTCAATTCCAGGCAGAGGGCGAAACCTTGGGCAAGTTTCCTTACTCCACACAGAGCCTAATAATAATCCCTCCAAAACCAAAAAACAATAATAAATTGGTCATTTTCAATCTACGACTGTTTGTGGGACATTGCTGTACACAATTGGCTTCCGCGTCCGCCCACAAATATACAGTCAATTCACTTCACAGTGTGTTCTGTGAAGCGCTTTGGGACGTCCTCCCGACGTGAAAAGCGCTATATCAAATGCAAGGATTATTATTATTATTATCAATTTTTGCAAATAAATTGAATTTTCATTTCATGTTTGTTTGTGGGACTTTGCGGTGGGCAAATTGGCGGTCATGTTTGTGTACGAATACAGTCACTACATTTGATAGTGATTCCAGTGAAGCTTAGGTGGTTTCACTAGGCTTTATTAATTGCTAGGATTATTATCAATGCACTAAGCCCATTTCAAAATACCCCAAATAGCAGGGGGTTAAAATTAAGTCTTACTTGTCTTGTTACAGGTAAGGCTGAATTTATAGAAAAAATTGGTCATTCAATGCATAACTGTTTGTGGGACACCGCCGTGTGCAATTGGTTGCTGCATTTTGCCCACAAAAATACACAGTTACTTTACAGTATATCACTTTATAGTTACAGGCACTATATCAAATGTAGGGATTATTATTAAGCAAAATTAAAAAAGCACGACAGAGGCTACAACAGATAGGCAAATAACTTGTCTGTCACATATAGAAGCGAAGTACAAAAGTGATGAGGACGAGGAGACATTACTGTAACAGATTGGCGGGATCATTAACAGTAATAGAAATGCTTTTTGAAATACTTTTTTCAACAGTAAGGGGAAAGCTGTGGGAGCTGAGCATTAACGGCAGAGATGCTTAATAAGTTAGTCTTCACCCAGGCAGTTGTGGGGAATGTAGCAATGTCAGAATTCCTTTTGGAAGAAATATGGACATCCACAAGTGGGACATTGCAGTGCGCAATTGGCTGCCACGTTTCGCCCACGAAATACACAGACAATTCACTTTCCAGTATATTCCGTGAAATGCTTTGAGGCGTCTCAACAATGTGATAAGGCAAAGATTATTATTATTTTTAAGGAACAGAATTGTATCCCGGGTGTAGAATTCTCAATAGGGAAACAGAGGGTCTGTAAGTAGATATTTAAAGTTTGTTTAAATAGAGATTTCAGGCCATTAAGAGGGAAAACAGGATTCTGGGATTGTATACAGAATCAAAAAAGAGGAAGGATGTGATATTGAGTCTGTAGAAGACATTGCTTAGGCCACGTGAAGCAGGCTGGAGCCCGCTGAGCGGAGGGAGCAGGCAGGTTGGTAGGGGGTTAGGAGGTTGCAGAATTATGGAGGGGTTATTAAGGGGAAGTAGAAAGATATTAGAGCTATGGAGAGAACAAACATAAGTAGTGAAAATTATACCGGAACTGGAAAGATTTTGCTATAAGTAGATGCTAGAGATGTTACAAGTCTTCCCTTTCGTATAGAGAATCTTGAGGGATGATAGAATTGAAGTGTTTAAAGTAATGAAAGAGTTTGAGAGAAGGGATTAATTTGCTGTTAGAGCAGAGCTGTTAGAGTGGCTTTTAAAAATAATAATTGGACAAGTACATGCAGAGGGGGGAATGGAGAGCAGGGGGAAAGGGCAAGGGATTGGGATTAGAGTGGATAGTGTTTGGAGGAGAAAACACAATGGACTGAATAGGCTCCCATTGTGTTGACATTGCTATGACTCCTGCAGCCTGGTACAGTAGGTTATGGGGTTGTGTGGAATATATTTTTGGGTCCTCTAAGGAATCAGCGTTAGCCGTGGTAACACCACTCGCACCAGTACCGTGAAACCAGCCGACAGAAGGCGCGTGGGAGTGAGTTCCGGCACCACAAAACAGTCCCCAGAAGCAGTGCGGGGAGGAACAATGAGTGAGATCTGCAGTTTTAGAGGAATGAGTTATGCGGCAATTGAGCCTCAAAAAACAGACCTTCGAGAGGAACTTGATGAGGTGGAGATCAAATTCAGACCAATGTTCCAAGGCAGCAGAGAACAGCTTGTCATGTACAGTGGGAGACAACCATTCACGAACGACTCCAGCCGTCAATCAGTTGTGATATGACTCCTCCCATTCACTCCCTGTTTCTTCCCCGTTTCTCTGCGCTCCCTCGCTGATTGACAGCCTGAAGCTGCTTGTGAATGGCTGGCATCCTCTGTCAATCAATTGCAATTTGACTAGTCCCATCTCCATCCCGGAGCGGCTCGTGGCGAGTGAGTAGATGCAGCAGTGATCAGCGCGGTATTTTGTCCGGTTTAACCGGATTTTTGTCCAAATCAACAGGCAGCTTTAAAACGGGTAAGAATGCAAATGAATCAGGGCCAGGGGGTTTTGTCCGATTTATCCGGCGTCCAGGGTTAACCAGCGTCCAACTAAAGCGGCTTATGTATATGACTTTTGATTTAGTTGAAAGCAACGGGAAGCAGGTAAAGAGGCAGGATTAGGTTTGGTGGTTCACGTGGAGAAAGTCACCATTCAGAAAAAAGCTTAGAATGGCCTGCTTCTCTGCTTGGCTATCCTATGGTGCTGTGATGGTGAGGAATGATATTGCTTTACTTGCAGTTGGGAGGTGCTGCGGTTCTTGCTGGCCAATCTGCGCTGGTGGATGGAGGAGTATCACTTTGATGGCTTCCGATTTGATGGGGTGACGTCCATGCTGTATCACCACCATGGCCTAGGTAAGTGTTGTCAGGTGAGAAACTAACAACCTTTGCCTCCCCTTCATGTGCTGCTGGAAACTGTGGTGCTGTTTAAGCCTGAAGGTTTTGGCAGTTCGGTTTCTTTCAGATTAAAGTCCACCATGCTCTCTGATTGATCCATTTCTCAATAAGTAACTCTATAAGCTCAGCCACCTCTCAGGTAACAAACTGAATGGAGAGGATTAATCTAGACACATGGCTTCCCCCTCAGACTCTGGTGTTTAATGTAAAGCAGTCGACCTTGCTGTAAGTCACTAGTTGGGCGAAAGCCTGGGTGGGTGGGGGGGGGCCTTCCTACACAAATACAGAATGACTTGCTAGTCGTGGAGTTGCTGCCAAGGTCACTTCCTTTTCAGGATTGTATATAGCGCAGAGAGCACCAGAAGGTGAAGTGAAGTTGGGGTCAGTGAAAGTTGGGAAGCTTCCTGTGCATAGTGTGCATCCTTAGCATGCAGGAAGTTACATTGGCTACTTGAAAGGAGTTTTCCAGGAGCCCTGGTCAACAATCCCGCAGATAAAATTGATCACTCACTCCATGGCTGTTTGTGGGACACTGCTATGTGCCAATTGGCTGCTTCGACCGCCTACAAAATACAGTCACACTCAACAGTAAATCCCGTGAAGTGCTTTGAGACGTCTCAACGACATGATAAGGCACTATATCAAATACAAGGATTATTACGATGTCTCAGGCAGCCAGCCAGTTGCACTCCAGTACAATGCAGTTCATTTGATTATTGTGAGGCATTGCTGGTGCAGATTGGTTGACACATTTAGTTTATTAATGACTTTCTATTACGTACAAGCTTTATTGTTTATTTCCCGATCATCACCCTTGTCGGACGTAGGTTTTATTTTCCTTATTTTACATGGACAGGAAAAGTTAACTCCTTTATTTTGTGGGAGGTTATGTTGGCTTCCATTTGTCAAGCAAATTCATTGCAAAAATTCCAGTTAATCGACCATCAACTTATGTTGTTGTTGATAAAATCAGCTGCCTCCATTGTAATATTCAATTTCTAAATAATCTCATTCTGCTGCGTGCTGGAGATTTTTTTATTTTAGGTAAAAAAAAGTACTGGATCGATATGCGTTTTGTTTCAAGCCAGTGCAAACTGTATAGCCTGAGCTCCTGTTTCACAGTTAGTGCCAAGGGATCTCTTTGAAATGAATTCCATCTCTTAGTGGATGTGACCCACTGGAACAGTGTACAACCGCCACCAAGAAAGGAAACGTGGTACACAGGGTCAAAAGCAATGAAAATGTCAGGTTGATGCCACAACAGGGTGCCCTTCAGAAACGGGGGTAAAGAATAATGCTGGGCCAGAGTTGAGAAAACCCACTTACAGACACTATCCAGCAGCTTTAATCAATTATTGTGTAGCAGCACAGTCTCCAACGTTTATAAAATAAGTAAGAGCTATAAAATATGAATGGCCAATTGATCTGTTTGATGTATTTGGATGAGGGAATGTGGTCCATAGCAATAGGAGAAACTTCTTACTCTTCAACGTTTTGCGTAGGGAAAGTACACCCAAATCCCAGAACAAGCGTTACCGTCTGAAGGATGATATCTCTGACAATGCAGCATTCCTTGCAGTGCAGTCCTCAGTCTAGATTATGTACTTACACTCTTAGAGTTCAGATTGTCCAGCTATGGATCCAACTGACAGTTGAATTGTTAACCTGATGTGAATAATAATAATAGTTACCCTTCATATCCGAAGTTGGCCGTTCACACAATGTGAACACTTGGATGTTCAGATTGTGGGGCAGATGGGGAAGGAAGGATCAGGGAAGAATGTTACAGAGGTTCAGGGCTTAGTGGCTGAAAGCGCAGCTACCAATGGTGGATACGGCGGGTACAAGGGACATGCAGAAAGCCAGAGCCAGTTGAGCGGAGGTAGGGGGCTGTGGGTTGGGGTTAAGCAGATCGGAGAGGTAGAGAGGTGCCAGGGAATGAAGGGTTTTGAAAACCTCAACAACAAATTACATTAGACGAGTGTGAGCATCTTGAACTTGATCCGTTCAGCGATAGGGAGCAAGTGGAGCCTGGCTAGAACTGGTGTGATGGGGGTACAGAGTTTAGTATGGGTGAGTATGTGGTTGACGGAGTTTTGGATCAGCTGGATCCTGTGGATGGTGGAGCTGGGGTGACCGGCAAAGAAGGCATTTGAGAAGCCGAGTTGGGAAATGACAAATGCATGGACGAGTGTTTCGGCTGGTTCTGGTGTAAGGCATAGTCGGAGGTGGACAATGTGACAGAGGTGGAGGAAGGCAGGCCTGGTTAGGGACCGCATGTGGTGAAGGAAGGATTGTTGTGGTTTGAACCTGACACTTAGGTTGCACACTGGTTTGGTAAGTCTGATGGATTGGCCAGGAATCATTGAGGGAATTACAATTAGATAGCAAGCAGTATAACATGGTATCAAGGAATACCATTTGCTAACTGCCCAAGCAGAAACCATTACCCTTGGAAAGTCATCTGCCAATTGACTAACAACCCGGGTCTTCTCGCTTGCGAGGCGAGCGTGCTAATTACTATGCTACAGGATTCCTATTTACCTGATATTGGAGGCTTGAACCCACAACCTTCTGTTGCAGAGCTGAAAGGGCTATTGAATGAATGGTTTAATGGTTACTCTCTTATGTTTTTTCACTCCCTTCTGCAGCTGTTGGCTTTTCAGGAGATTACAGCGAGTATTTTGGTCTTCAAGTTGATGACGAGTCCGTGGTGTACCTCATGCTCTCAAACCATCTCCTTCATAGCTTATACCCAGACTGTATCACCATTGCCGAGGTAACTATCCTTGCCTGCTAAATGTTGTCACAAAACTTAATTCACAAATGACCACTATCCCAGATGCACCAATAAAGGGGCACAGGTTCAGGGATTATAAAAGGTGATTTCAAGGTGGACAGCAGTAAGTATTTCTTTCACACTGAGGTGGAATCAACAACTGGAACTGGCTCCCAGGAAGGGCAATTGGGTGAGGGAACTCTTAAGAAACAACTTGATTCAGAAAAGGAAGGTGGTAGGATTGGTATTCTGGACAGATGATTTTCTGCATCAAACTGAATTTCTTATGTGTTCTGAAATCTTTCTTCAATTGCCTACCCCTGGGGGAAATGAAAATGTAGTAAAGACAGTTGGACACTTAATGCAGTAGTCAGCAGGAGGTCTGAGTAATGCTTCAGTTGCACCATCAAACGGAACTCAATAATCCCACATTCAGGCTTTGGTATTGCCAAGTTTAAACCAAGTGTGCCTTTGCAGTGTGTTTGTCACAATGGGCCATTGAAAGCATAATTTTGGTTTCAATGTTCTGTAAGCTTCAATGTCCAAAGAGTTGCTCGGTTTGTTTAGTATAAAGCTTGTAGTGACAGTCAAAAGCTGCGAACCAGAAATCTAACGCCGTGTGCCTGGCTTCTGGGACATGTTCATTAGAAATAGGTCAGGAGGGGGAAAGGGGTTGCACTTAGCAATGTGATAAATATCTAATGTCTGCAAAATTGTCCCCAGTGTAAAGTTAATTGTATAATATATAACGGCTTGTCCGTTTCCCATTAATCGGTAAAAACTGGGATTCATCAATTTTGCAATTTTTTCCAAACCAAAGGAAATTAAATCCAATCAGTAAACACTGTCTTAGTTTCTCCAAAAGCTTTAACAGCATTCTGTGGCGTCATCTGCAGCACTTCAGCAGTTTAGTTGATGTGTATTTGGCAATATTTGGGATGCATTGTTGGACTGTCTTACCTTTCATTTTCACTGAGGTGAATCAAACCAGCTTGTTACATGTGCAGACCCACCTCTCCTCTTTGATCCTTCCGAAATTGTCAGTAACTTAAAAACCAAACAGTGCATTAATATTCCAGTGGGGTGCCACTGAGGTTGATGTACGTTTTGGTGAAATGTGATGCAAACAGTTTCTATTTTGAAATTCTGGCATGCCATGGTCCTGTGTCTAATATTAATGCGGTTCTTGTGCTTGACCATGCAGCTAATCCTTTCAGCATCTGGAATCCCCAGCTAATATGTGTATAAAGAGAGGCTGGTTAAATTGAAGCTTTTTCTATTGAAGCAGAAGAGACCGAGAAAGACTATGATGCAGGATTTTCTTTTAAATTTGGTCAGGTGGGCATGCAGAAACATCACTGTGCTTAAGAGTGTCCAAACCAGACAGAGAGTTCCACATAAGGATGCATCTACATCTGTGTGCAATGGAATGCATCTGGAGGAACACACTCTACTTGCAGAGAGTATTATGTGCAGATTGGCACGAGCCGTGTCTTGGGGACCCCAGAGTGTGTGCGGGGTAGCCACTAGAATGCAACCAGCTAAAACGTCATAGCTTACTATTGAAAGCGCATTCCCCTTACTTGTCCAGCAAGGATCACTCTACCAGTTCGGGCTTTGGCTTGTAACTTAAAGACGAAATAGGATGAATTGCAGCTCACAGTGACTGCTCCGCCTCTGCAACTTCTGCCAATGAGCCGAGTTGGCTGAAATGTCATCAGCAGTGCCCTGCAGTTACTCTGGAATGCAGACCACAGAGACCACTGCACAGGATTAACTTGATTCCAACATTCGACAACAACAACTTGTATTTATATAGCTCCCCTCATGCAAGGTAACATTCCAGTGTGCGTTCTGTTAAATAAGTCACTTTAGAGCCATCTTGGCTCTCAGGAAAACCCGACTTACCTCCTCCCTCTCCCCCACCCCAAAGAGAATAGTCAATAGTCGGTTATATAACATCCGACAAGTGCAGGTTTGAGCTCTCACTAAGTGGATGGCAGGTACCAGGAACTCCCTGCGAGCTTCCCAGTGGGCAACACAGCTCAGCATGGAATGCGTGAGAGCATTACCACCACCTTCTTGTCTACACCTCAGACACATATCCCTTCCCATGGTGGGACGGGCGGAGCTGAGACTAGCAGAGTTTAAGTAGAGCAGCAGCTGCTTACGTCTCTGCACACCAATCAAAGTGGATATCATATCATATCTGAATATATGAGCGTGTATTCACGAAACCGGACTCCAGGTAATGCCTTCTAGTAGGTGCCCTAACAAGCTTCCTAAACAAGTTTACTCATCAGCTATTCATCTGCTTTCGCTGTGGCACTAGGACCTTAGTAGGGCCATTTGGTACCAGCTTCCTTGATGATCTAGTGATCTCAGATCAATGTGACGTACCAGGCTTACTCAGCATCAGTTGCTTAATGCAGGTCCTCATGTGAGGGGCTTTGGCAAATACTTGAAAAAAATACTGTTGCCCCTCCTCCCTTCCCCACACGCACACACATACATACACACACACACGCAAACCTCACATGCACACACACAAAATAAAGATGAGAAGAAGGAAAAATTAAAAAGAAAAAAGTCAAAGGCCCCCTGTGAAGTCAAATTCGCCTCCAGGGTACTCAACAACAGGTGAGTGCTGGCCGGAGCTCTGCCTCCTTGTAGCCTCTTCCCCTTTTACCAGAATACCAACTCTTAGTTTGGTTCTGGATTTTGCATGTGGGCCAAAGGAAACCTCTCCACTGGATGCCTAAGAACTCAAAACCATGTAGAACTCTTTGGACACAGGTCTTACAAGGCACAAGCTTAGCATACATTGGGACCTTGCTGTCTTTTGAAGCAAGACCAGAATGACTCGAGTCCCATTTGCACCTTTTCAGAGTAGACCAGCAAGACAGTGCAAACAAAAGCTGATCTCAACAAACCCCTGAAAATCAACCAGTGGGACTGATATCCTGATATGAAGGGTAACTATTATTATTTTCCAGTCAGTGGAGGGCATCACAAGGCAAATAGGCAAAAACGATTTCCTTTTTCAGAATGGTTTCAAGGGCCCTTATCTCAGGATTGTTAGCAGAAGCTTTAGGAGAGAATTTCTTCACTCTGAGGGTTGTTACAGAGTGGAATTCATTACCACAAGTGGCTGTTGAAGCTGGATCAGGGAAATCATACAAAAGGGAACCGGCTAGGCAGAAAAAACATTGAGATGTGGAAAAGGAGCTGGAAATTGGGATTAATAAAGATTACTTAGAAAGAGAAAAGCATTGGCACAGACACAATGGGCTGAATTGTGCTAAAAATGTTGTCCCTATGTTGCTGGAAACTATTTTCTTCTGAATCTCAAAGTGGCAGGAGGGATTCCTATGAGCATCTCACCACATCATACTAGAGCTCCCCACAAAACAATCTAATTAGAGCTATGTGCTGAAATCTGGCATTGTCTACTGGGTGCAGATTGGCAAGAAAAAAGACTTGAGGACCCCAGAGCGTGTGGGGTACTGTTGGAGTCTAACCAGCTAAAACTGCAAAACTTCCCATTGAGAACATTGTCTGGCAAGTTTTCCCGCTGCTTGTCCATCTAGGACCACCCTATCCGTTAGGGCTTTGGCTTGCAAGGTTAACAGGAGCTGGGTGGGGTGATTCCCTGCTCCCCCTGACTGGTCTGCCTTTCCAAGTCCTGCCGATGGGCTGGGCTGTGCTGTCATCAGCAGTGTCCTGGAGTACTGCGGACCCACCTGGATCAGGAGCTGGAGTAGAGACCATCACAGAGGGCTGGCTGTTGCTGAACAGGTCACCTTGAAGCCAGTTCAACTCCATTGAGACTCCGCTTATATCCTCTGCCTACCCACCCCCCCACCGAGCGGGAAGGATCACTAATGCCAGTGACTGGACGACCCTTCCATTTACTGCCATTCTAGCAGGTCTGCCAAAAACTGTCCCTTCCCATTGAGTGATAGTTTCACTAATTGGGGGATTTGGACCAGAGCGCTTGCCTCTCTGTTCGCCAATCAAAGTGGATTCCGTAGCTGGATGTACAAATGTGTGTTCACAAACTCGGACTTCAGGTAACATCAAGGCTGAAGAGCCTGTTACATCAAATTAGATTAGTTACATTATTCTCATTCTCCTCATAATCGGTCTCAGCCTCATTGATCTCGACTGCACTGCCTTGAGGGCAGCCCTTTACTGAGGCACTGTCTTCACAAGTTGAAGTTGTGGGAAGAGAAAAAGACACTTGCTCACTTCTGCACAGCTCTGATTTGTGACATGGCACAGTGAAACGTCGATCTCATCCTGAAAAACAATGTTTGATGTATTTCGCCCACTCTTCTTCCAATGGAGGTGCCTGGCTCAGCTTTGACCTCCCCCAGCTAAGATAATAAACCAGCTGTCTGTTTCGTGCTGGATTCCCTTGTATTCCACTGCACAATGTGTAGAGAATTAATGGTCTTTTGGAGAGAAACTGGCAAGAGTGTGTTTGAAACTGTAAACCAGCTCCCAAGTGCCTGGTTTTATTTTATGTCCCCAGCTTCGTATCATTTACTTTTATGGAATTTTTCCTTTGGAGTTTCATAGTTTAACTATTGTACTGAGACTGACAAGCTTTGTCACATTGAAAGAGTTACTGACAGAGATTTGTAGTATCATAGAATAGATGCGATACAGGAGGACATTTAGTTTAGTTTGTGCTGGTATGCCTCTGCCTCTGCCTTCCCTCACCTCCATAACATCGCCCGACTCCGCCACTACCCCACGCCTCAGGCGCTGAAACTCTTGTTCATGCCTTCATCACCTCCAGGCTCGACTGTGCAAACACCCTGCTTGTCGGCTTTCCCAACTCCTCCCTCCACAGGCTGAAGATAATCCAGAACTCTGCAGCCCGTGTCCTCTCCCGCACCAAACTCCGTGATCCCATCTCCCCCATTCTCGCCTGACTCAACTGGTTCCCTATCCTTCAGAGGATCCAGTTCAAGATCCTGGTCTCCCATACAAAGCCCTCCATGGCCTCGCCCCACCCTACCTCTGCGACCTCCTAACCCCCTACCAACCTGCCCGTTCCCTCCGCTCAGCCGGCTCTGGCCTGCTCCACGTCCCCCGGCCCACCCGCCCTACCGTTGGCAGGAGAGCTTTCAGCCACTCTGCCCCCAATCTCTGGAATTCCATCCCCCAGTCACTCTGCCTCGCCCCCTCCTTAGCCTCCTTCAAGTCTCGCCTCAAGACCCTCCTCTTCAACCATGCCATCGGCCACCCCCCTTCCCCTCCCCTCCCTTCCCCCCCAACCCCAGCTCGGGTCTGAAATGCTGTACTCTGTCCAGCGCCTCAAGACATCCTCCCGACGTGAAAGGCGCTATACAAATGTAATCTTGTTGTTGTTGTTGTGGAAACTTCCCTACTGGAGCTCTCTACCCATATCCCATTCCTGTTCTTTAACCATCGTGCTTACTCCCCCACTGGAGCTCTTTCCCCATTGTGTTTGTGCTGGTGCTTGATCCCCCACTGGAGCTCTCTACTCTAATCCTATTCCCCTGGTCTTTCTCCATTGTGCCTCTGCTGGTGCTCACTCCCCCACTGGAGCTCTCTACTCTATTCCCATTCCTTGCTCTCTCCCTATCATGTCTGTCTGCTGGTGCTCACTCCCCCACTGGAGCTCTCTACTCGGATCCCATTCCCTGCTCTCTCTCCATTACGTCTGTTGATATAGGATGCTAGCCCGCAAGTTGTTGTTGCTGTGCTGGTACATATTACAGAATATATTGTTTATGACATTTCCTGTGTATATTAAAATGTGATTAATTTATTGCCTAAACCATCACAACTGTTCGCATTGTACTTCAGTAAACAGTTGCCCCCTTCTGATGACTTGGCACTGGCGTTATTTTAGCAGTAAGTATCTTAATGAAACCTCTGCATCTCTCAGAACGTCTCCAGAGCCCATGCCGCTATAACTGTTTTTAAAATGTTGTTTTTAAAAAAGGAACATGAATAGATTGTGCAAAATATTGGTTGTTTAAGAGAGTCACATTTGTGGACATTTGTGGTGCTGTGTGCAGCAATGTGGGGAAACTCCTAATCCAACCCATTTTCCTTTTGTGCTGGTATTCTGTGGTGTCCTTCGGAATATCTTAATTAAAGTACTTCCCACAAACTATTGGTCTATTGGGGAGTCTAATTGATTGGTAATGATATCCCTGTGTGTGTGTGTGTGTGTGTGTGTGCGTGTTTCTCTCGCTCTCTTTCCCTCCCTCTGTAGTCCTCACACTCACAAACTTGGTGATAATGCATGCAAATGCACAACAGAATTTTGCCCGACATAGCAGCTCAACTTTACTTCTGTATCTGAGCCCTGATGTAGATAAGGAAAGGAACGTGGAAATAAGCGGCAATCAACTGAAATAGTGATCTTTTCCATAGGATCTTGCCCTCTTGACTTCTTGAAGAAGATTTCATGATTAGTTCTTTCTAACCCTTTCATTTTCCTAAACATCTCCATCGCGTCACTCCCGAACATACCTGCTCCAGTCCTGAACTCCCGAGCCTCTCCTTATAGCTTATACTTTCATGTACTTATGTGCTGCTATGCTAAACTGAAAGCTTTTGTTTTTAGGATGTGTCTGGAATGCCGACACTGTGCCGACCTATCAGTGAGGGAGGAGCTGGTTTTGATTATCGCTTAGCTATGGCTATACCAGACAAGTGGATCCAGGTGAGAAACCCCTATTTGATTTACACTGACTGAAAAAGCTCCATCGTTGTGAAGTGTCTGTCCTTCTGTCTTGTCATGCTGCAGTGTTTTGCAATTAAGCTGTTGCAGTGTTGTATGACAACTCGGCTGACATACTTTGATTTTGCACTCAACACCTTTTTCTAAGTTAGGCAGAAATTATATTTTATTCTTACTAATTGGCACCTTCAAGGATATGAAAATCGTGCAGATATAATAATAATAATCCTTGCATTTGATATAATGCCTTATCATGTCTTCGAGACGTCTCAAAGCGCTTCACAGAATATACTGTAAAGTGAATTGACTGTATATCTTGTGGGGGAATTGCGGCAACCAATTGCACGCAGGAATGTCGTGGATTGAAGTGACCAATTTATTATTATTTTAGTTTTTTGAAGGAATTATTACCCTCGGAAAGAGATCCACCAATCGACCAACAACTGGATTCCTGCTTACTTCTAGGTAGACAGAGGCTTGTGGAGTAAGGAAACTTGCCCAATATTTCGCCCTGCTGGAAATCGAGACCAGGTCTCTCTCTTGCAAGGCGAGCGCTCTAACCGCTGAGCTCGCTGCACTATACAAATCGTCTGTATGTGTATTTTTCTCTGTTTCAAGCATTCTGTGATTTTATCTCTCGTTCTTTTTCTGTAACTCCCCACTAAAATCAATGTCTGTAAATATCCTACCCTTATTTTTCATTTCCTTTCATCTCTCACCAGGCTCTGCACTCATCAAATGACGTGCTTCACATGCCCTGCTCTGATCTGCTCTTTTAGTGAAATCTTGTTTGCAACAGTAGCAGTTGCCGTTCTCAGGGGAGAGTTGATTTGGTGTTTCAGAGCCAGTGAATGAACAAAAGAAGCAATAAGTTCAAGGTGATGCAGTAAAAGCTCAGATCATGTTAAGAATCTTTACATTGATTTTTTTCCCCCCTTTTATTAAAAAGAGATTCTAATCCCATGGAGGGGCTGCGAATCTCAGCCTCTTCAGATTCGGGCAAAATTTACTTTGCTAAAAAGTACCTTTTTATTGGTTTTGTAGAACCTGTTTCCGATAAGTGCAATTGAGAAATCCAAATGATGTGCAGAGTGGAAACGCTCTCTAATAAGAACCATAGAAATGCACAATACACTATGAGGCCATCAGCATATTTTTGTATCAAAATGAAAATGCTGAAAGTTTAGGGTTGTGACTTCACAGGTAGTCTGCAATTATGTTAGACTTAAGAGTTGTTTCAGTTACTGTGATGGGTGAAATGAGACATGGCGCTTTTGTTCACCATAAACTGTAATTTTAGGCTAGCTCATTACGGGAGTGTTGGCCAGGACATGAGCTGTCTGTAATTACTCATACTCTCATTTCTGAGGTTTCACGTCGGGACGTTAAAGTCACTGCCTAGGTTGACACTCCATTGCAGTTCTGGGGGTGTGACACATTCCCATCTTCCGGATGAGATATTAAACCGAGTCCCCGTCTGCCAGTTCAGGTAGACGTTAAAGATCCCATGGCAGTGTTCAGAGTGAAGGGAAATTCACTCGATGTTCTGGCCAACAATCCCCTAAATAAAAATTGGTCACTTACTTCATAGCTGTTTGTGGAACATTGCTGTGCGCAAATTGGCTTTATGTACAAAATACGTTTTACAGTAATGTCTGTAAAGTGCTTTGAGATGGCCTCCTGGCATGCAACACTCGTGTCAATTACAATTGATGCTATCAGTTGTGGTATTCTTCAATTTCAAACTTGTTGGCGCACAGTATTTGAACCATTCTTCAATGTATCTATTGCAAGAATTTTATTATTATTTCATTATACATTGCAGTTTTACTTAAATGATTTCTGCAAGGCTTAATATTTTAGCCTAGCTCTGGTCAAAATCTCTGAAAAATGGAATATTATGAAAGCCTTACAAAGAGAGGGCGGGACATAATATATGGTTCAACCAAGGCTGGCTTTGTCCTGAAATGTATCTTGAGGCAGCTCGGTCCTCCAGCTGGCACCCCAATGTGGTCATGGGATGTCGAATGTGTTGTATGGCATTACACTGGTAATTCTGACAAAATCCTCTTTTGAAATCCTCGTGTGTTTGGGCTAGGAATGAGAAGTGAATTAAATCCTGAACATGGTTGTGAAAAATGACACTGAAGGAATCAAACTAGCTTTTATTCAATCCAAGTCTGCAAACATTTCTAAAGTTACAGTAAATCGAGGCCCACAAAATAGGACAAGTCAGTAAATGAAGTTAGGTTAGGCTTGGTGGATGACAGAAAGAGAGATTCTATAGCAGTGAGCTGATTAGGGAGACCCCAGGCCCTTGCATATATCATACAGTAATTGTTGACTGATTATCAGGTTTTTTAATACCACAAAATGCTCTTTGTGCATATTAATATTCAGATCAGGATCAAATGCATTCTGTTCATTAAGGAGGTGTCACATTTTGCAGGCACATCACAACTGAGTTTAAATTAGTTTAGCCGTTCACACTGCTCGTGTGCTGCTATTTGAAAGATGCCACAATAGTCTTGAGGTGTAGAGATCGTGGGCATGTTTGTATGTAAAACACATTACGAATGATTTACAAATTGCAATTTTACAAAAATCTGTTACATTTGAAGAGCGACTATAATATCAAAACATCTTAATGTTTTACATCAAGGAATGTGCTCCGAATCATAGTAACTGTGTCTTTGAAGGCGAACAATGACCAATTTATCTGTTAGATTGTTGGCCAATACACCAGGAGAAATGTTCTGAATATTGCCATGGGATCACTGAACAAACAGATGGGACGATGGTTTAGCAAGTAGTGAGATTGTGGAACTCGCTGCCAAAAGCATGGGTTGGATCAGATAGTGTAGATGTATTCTAAAGGAAGCTAGATCTTCACATGAGTGAGAAGGGAATAGGAAGGTACTGAAGGGAGTAAGGAACTCGTGTGGAGAATGAACACCAGCACGGACTAGTTGGGCCGAGTATTCTGTTTCCATGTTGTACATTCTTTGTAATCTCATGTGAAGGACATTAACTCTAACATTGCAGGGCACCCCCATTACAGCACTGGAGTATCTGCTTAGACGTTGAGCCTCAAACATTCAGTTTGAACCCACAAGATTTTGACGGAGAGGTGAAAGTGCCTTATCAATTGTGCCTTGCTGCACAGAGTGTACAGTTGTTTAGGTCAGCCAGTGTGGAACCATCTGGAAACCCATCAACATTGTTTGGGGTATCCAAACCAGACCGAGAGTTCCACATATATATGCCACCCGCACATGGAAAATTCCACTTGTCTGGAACGGAATCCGCATTCTCTCCCTAGGGAATGTACCATTTAATCGGTTCTAGTGAGTATTAAATGCAGGTTGGCAGCATTCAAGAATTGGGGAATCTGAGTGAGTGTTACGATATTGCTGAAGTTCAATCAGCTGAAAACGCTTAGCTTTTAAGCGACACTTCATCAGACCCTTTGGTTCGTGGACCCGACACGTTGACTCACTTTCCTTTCTCTATAGATGCTGCCTGACCTGCTGAGTTTTCCCAGCTCTCTCTGTTTTTGTTTCAGATTCCAGCTGCAGTATTTTGTGTTCTGCTCCTTGAAACTTTGGCTTGCAGGGTTAACAGGCGTCAAGTAGAAAGAATTACAGCCCCCAGTGCCCTCAGTCAACTCTCCATGACCCGCTGATCAGCCAGGCTAGCTGAATACCCACTTACCTTCCTCCCCTGATTCCAAGAATAATCACTACACCAACAACTTATATTTTATACCACTTCACGTGGGATAGCATCTCCAAAGTCTCCTGTTAGTCAATTGACTCGATGGTCATCGGCAAGTAGGTTTGAACTCTCACTCGGTGAAGAGGAGGTACCAGAAATTCCTGTGAGTTTCCTGGTGAGCAACATAAAATGTGTGAAAATATTGCCATCATCCTCCTGCCCTCAGCTCAGACACACATCCCTCCCAGTGAGCGATGGTTCTACCAGATGGAGCATGAGCAGCAGATGATAACCTCTCTGCATGCATACCAATAAAGGTAGATACCAAGCCCTGGATATATAAACATGTGTCCAAGCAACCAGACTTCAGGTAATGCTTTCTAGTTATCTCGAGCATCAGTGTTTCCTCATTAAGTATTTGACAGATAACTGCCTTCAGCGTGGTGGGATATGTTGTTCATGGATTACGTTTAGAATTTGCCTTTAAAAATACTGATCACACTTGCCAGAAATTGTCTGTAAAGGCCTTTGAGACATTTCTACATGATCTGGTGATATAAGAATGTAAGTTGCTTTTCTCAGCTTACATTACAAATCCCCGATTCATCAACTGGATGACTGTTTCTTTATCATCTGATCATAAAATAAATTGGCTATTATCAAGAGTTTTAGCTGCAGCTGCATTGTTTCTCAATCACATAAAGCTGGTAACATGCAGTGTTTAAATTTAATTGTTTTTAATAGAAGGAGTTGGAGGCTTCAGCTGCAGTCCAGGTAATGTGATTTTCTAGGTTGATTGTCAGATTCAAGCTCGATGTTCTGGCTCGATAATACTTTGAACCAAACCATTCCTACCGTGAGGATTCTACCTAACTGGAATGCTTCTCTTTCCAACCGGTGCAGATGTTGAAAGAACTGAAGGATGAGGATTGGAACATGGGTAACATAGTATTTACACTGTCAAATCGGCGTTATGGAGAGAAGTGCATTGCGTATGCAGAAAGCCATGATCAGGTAACTATTGCTCAGTTTTCCTTAAAGCAGGATGTTGGGTTTGCAATGCAATGCTATTTCAGATGCAGACGTCTCTTGTGGCTGCTAAAATTAGATGGACAGTTTACCTCTTCAGTCGGGTCTTCATTCTTGCCACATCCTCTTGTCTAATGGTAATAATAATCCTTGCATTTGATGCAGCGCCTTTTCATGTCATCAAGAGGTCTCAAAACGCTTCACAGGATTTTACTGTTAAGTATTGTGACTGTGTATTTCTAGTAGACCATGGCAGCCAAGTTGTGCACAGGAATGTCCCACAAAAAGACATGAATTTTAATTTAGGGGATTGTTGGCCAGGACACTGAGCCAGGCTGATAGCTGTGCTCTTTGCTTCACCTCTGTTCTCTGCTTCAATATGATGCGTGGCAGAGATTTCTGCATTCCCAGGATCTGGTATAAAGAACATTTTGTCTTTCCTTCCTATTAATTCCTGGTTTAAATAATTGGCCACAAATACTAATATTATTTTGGTTTTGTTTCCAAGGCCCTCGTTGGGGACAAGACTCTGGCTTTCTGGCTAATGGATGCAGAGATGTACACTAACATGAGCGTTCTCAGCCCGTTAACGCTAAAAATAGATCGCGGCCTTCAGTTGCACAAGATGATCCGCCTCATCACACATGGACTGGGAGGAGAGGGATACTTGAACTTCATTGGTAAGTCTGCTGCTAACTATATCTCTTGAGTAACAAAGGTTCAATTACCAGTTATGATTGCGGAGTGATGTCTCTTCTTCTGAACACCTCTCTGTAAAGCCTGTGTGATGTGACATTAGAAACTCCATTTAAAACTAAGTTTAGCGCAGGCTTTATATAAAATGTGTTGAAGAAGAAACTTTGTCCAGTTGAGGCCATTTGAGCTGAAAAATGCGTTCTGATTGTTGAGTGATGCACCTGTGGTGGGTGTTTGCCTGACAGTCTTATAAGGATTTCCATTACATTCTGAATTCACTCATTGCTATGGCAACCCACAGTAGATGTAATCATTTTTGGATGAGTTCTCTTTGCTCGATAAGCTCAGTTTCTAATGGTGAGTTTAAGAGATTCTGGTAGCTTTCCTTACAGCTTAGGCTCAAAAAAGCTAAGCTTGGAGCCAACCTCACCTCACAACCCCCACCCCCCCCCCTCATTTCTACAATTCAGGGAGTCCATGTGGGATATGGTAGGAGGGAGAAGTAATTGAGAAGGCTTTAATCCTTAATGTGGCGCAGTCTCCCAATCCAATAGGGAAAACATTGCTCAGCCCATTAACGCTAGTAATAGATTGAGTTGCACAACCTTGCCTCATCTCACATATACTGGGGTGAGAAGGATACCTGAATGTCATATCTGCTGCTGCCTATAATATTTCATGAATCATTAAGAGGTTCAATTTCCGGTTATGATTATTGGGTGATGTATCCTCCTTTAAACATCCATGTGATGTGATTTTTGAACCTCACATCTATTGCTCCTGAAGATGGTTTGTGAAAAACATTCTCTGTGCTTGTTTTTGACCCACTTTGAAGCTTACATTACAGCATTCTCATGTGTTTATATACTGATGAAAATGACGATTATAAAATACGACAAAGCTTCTCTTTTGGATTTTCTTCAGCTATAAAATAAGTTGGTATTAATTCAGTTCTACACAAACTACAAGTGAAATAAATTTGGCTATATATAATTATTATTATATAGACACTTCTTCATACAAATGTAGCGGCTTGATTTCTGAAATGCGCAGCTTCTCTGCCCTTACCCTGGAAGAAATGCATTATTTTAATATGCTGTGTATTCCAGGACCATTTGTCCACTGAAAGAAATGGCTCTGATTATCAATGGGCATCCAAAGGCCTCTGCTCTGTTGGTGGCGGAGACTTCAGTGAGTCAGAATGGGTTTTACAAACCAAGCAATCTTACCAAGTTGCTTACCGAGCCTAAATCTTTTACATTTATAGTTAGTGGAGTCACAGTGGAGTCCTGTAGTTTTGTGGTTAGATGACTTGCCTCGCAAGCGAGAGGACCTGGGTTCAGTTCTGGGTAGGGCGAAATGTTGGGCAAGGTTCCTTACGCCACACACCTCTGTTTACCTAGCAGTAAGTTGGAACCCGGTTGTTGGTCGATTGGCGGATTGCTTTTCCGGGGGTAATAATTCCTTCAAAAAATAATAACAATAATGTCACTCAATCCATGATTGTTTGTAGGACACTGCTGTGCACAATTGGCTGCTGCATTTCACGCACAAAATATACAGTCAATTAATTTCACAATATATTCTGTGAAGCGCTTTGAGACATCTCGAAGACGTAATAAGGCAGTATATCAAATGCAAGGATTATTATTGCAGTGTCAATCTAGAATATGTGAGTTCAAAGACCCGTAATGGGTGTTTGGACTCACAACTTTCTGACTCAGAGGCGAGAGTGCTACCAACTGAGTCAGGCCAACACCTAAATAACATTGGTAATAATAATATAATAATCCTTGCATTTAATATAGCTCTTTTCACATCTTCTCAACGTCTCAAAGCGCTTCACAGAATAGACTCTAAAGTGAATTGACCGTATATTTGTAGACGAAACTCGGCAGCCAATTGCGCACAGCAGTGTCCAACAAACAATGGTGGATTGAAAATGACCAATTTATTATTGTTTTGTTTTGGAGGGATTATTATTAGGCGTGTGGAGTAAGGAAACTTGCCCAGGGTTTTGCCCTGCCTGGAATTGAACCCAGGTGTCTCGCTTGCAAGGCGAGCGCTCTAACCACTGACCTACAGGACTGATGAAATGTCCAGACATTGATCTTGTCCAATTTGCAAATAGTGAATGTCTGGAGCTGCTGTCTTGTAATGTCTTTATGTTCTGGATGTACTTTTTTCAGGCATTACTCACCTGTCTGAGTCTGTGGCAGTGGTTGTTTAGAGCTGGTGACAGCTTCACAATTCTGTGGCTCGGAAGAAATTCTGCTTTACTGTGTGACATTCTAGGAATGGAAACTTTAAGCACAAAAGTGGCCTTTTTCACCCATTCTGTCTGTGCAACCTATTTTCCTTTTTTGTAATTAAAGCCATTTTCCAGCTCTCTCCCTACATCCCTTAATATTTTTGCTCTTTAGGTGCTTATCTCATTCCCTTTTGAATGATTCTGTTGCTCTGGTCTCAATTGCCACTTGTGAAGAATTGTGCATCCTAACCACCCTCTCATTGAAGAACTTTCTTCAAACTAGTCCCCTGATATTCCTACTAGTAATGCTGTGGATTCAGTGCACAGCACACTGAACTCTTTTTTTCACCTGGTTTCTTTATGTTTTGTGGTATCACATTTGTCCAGATGGCCAGGTTTGTTCTCAAATGCCGATGGGGGCAGAGGCCAGTGGGTCTCTGTACTAATTGGTGCAGGGCTTCTTTGTTGAACTGATCATAAGTAAATTGCTCTGATTTGATAGTAATTATTCATATTTTTTGTTTCCATGTCTACTTTCATCCCAATCGCTTACTCCTTCCCCATCGTGGAGTCCTGTAGCTCAGTGGTTAGAGCACTCGCTTTGCAAGTGAGAGACCTGAGTTCAATTCCAGGCAGAGGGCGAAACCTTGGGCAAGTTTCCTTACTCCACACAGAGCCTAATAATAATCCCTCCAAAAATAAAAACAATAATAAATTGGTCATTTTCAATCTACGACTGTTTGTGGGACATTGCTGTGCGCAATTGGCTGCCGCGTTCGCCCACAAATATACAGTCAATTCACTTTACAGTGTGTTCTGTGAAGCGCTTTGGGACGTCCTCCCGACGTGAAAAGCACTATATCAAATGCAAGGATTATTATTATTATATTATTATCGTATCTGTGCTAGGCTTCACCCATTGGAACTGTCCCCTCCAAGCCCAATTCCTGCTCTTTCCCGTACCCTTTTTATATTTTTCCTCTTCAAATGTTTATCCAGTTCCCTTTTAATGTTTAGGCCTTGGCCTCAATAGCCACTCCTGATAAAGTATTCCACGTTCCAATAACCCTCTGCATGAATATTATTTTTCTAACCTTCTTCTTAGCTCTTCCATGCACAAGTGCTGAGCTCAATAGCCCCTGAGTACTGGTTCTCTGACCCGCAGCAACGATATACAGCTATCGTTCCCAAGCCTCCAAATATTTATAGTTAATATTTTATTATGAATTTTTCTTTTTTTAAAAAAAAAGCTTGTTTGAACAGTGAGTCTTGTGATCTGATCAGTGTAGCGGACACAGCGGAGTTCCTGACCTTAACGGATGAGGAGGAAAATGAATTAACACCACGTGGAGAGAGAGTAATTAGCCCAGAGTGCTTTTTCAATGCATCATTTCAACATTCTGATAATTGAGCTCCTGAAAGAGCAGCCTGCTAGCCAGTTCCCCTGATGATGCCATTTTCAGCACTCGCTGTTTGAATGAAAGAAACAAACAGCCTTGAACCAAAGCCTTGAATACAGTGAAAGGATGTTGTGCAGAGCTGTGCTGAGGCACCATTACATTAGCTAATATTTTAACCAATTCCTTCCTGAAAACGCCAAAGAGATATTTGGGTCTTCAGTGTCACTGCTGGAAGTGATTCATCTACTTCCCCTTGGTGTCCAGTGTCCATCCCAGCACTCCCAGATCAGGTATAGTACAGCTTAGATACAGAGTAAAGATCCCCCTGACATCCAGCACTCCTGGATCAGGTATACCATAGTTACAGAGTAAAACTCCCTCTATCCTGTCCCATAACAGCATCTTGGGTCAGGAGAGACAGGATAGTTTAGGCCACTTCTCAAGAGAAGAGATCTTTCAGGGGTAAACAAAAAGCATTGATAACATAAATAGGCCATTTTTACTGGTTGGGAATCGGTACCCAGGGCATTCAAGTGTAAGATAATGACTAGAGGACACAAAAGAGAATTTAGGAGGAACTACTTCAGATAGAGGGCAATGAGACTGTAGAACTCGCTGCCTGAAGTGGTGGTTGAATCAGATGGTATATATGCATTCAAGAAGAAGCGAGCCCTTCATATACAAGCAAAGGGAATAGAAGGGTATGAGAGGCAGTAAAGGACCGGGTGGAGACTTGTGTAGGGTTTAAGCACCAGTGTGGACTGTTTACAAAGAATGTGCAGGACGGAAACAGGCCACTCACTCTTATAGGCATAGCTTCTGTAGAATGTCCATTTAGCATAGCACTACAGTCTCAGCCTGCGCTGTGAGCTCCACTCCCCATGTGAGAATTGTACAGACAATACAACATTTTGACCCAGAGGCTAAATTGCTATCAGCTATGCCAGACTCATTCCATTTTCCACTTCCCTTAATGTTTATCCACTGAAGAGTTTTTCCGAATACTTGAAAAACTTTAGCCGTATTTAGTGTGTGTGTGTGTGTGTGTGTGTGTGGAGGGGACCTTTGGTCTAACTTGACGAGCTCAAAGCTGGCTTTTATTGTTAGGAAACTGAGGCATTTCATGTGTGTCTGAATTAAAGCTTGAGGGAAGAAAGCTGGCACAGAAGGATGTCTGAAATCTGCAGCTCTGTACAGGCAGCTTTATATATAACAGTGTTGTTAATTTGTTTATTTTTTAATTTAATAGTTTGAGCATGAATAATGTATTTGAAAGTGTGGTAATGAAATAACTGCACTCCTGCACTCATTTTAATAAGTTGAAATATGAATG